GTCATAGCGGCGCCTCATACCACTACTCCACTCGTCCGCATAACATGCATAAGAACGCATAACAACCATAAAATGCAAGTTATAAAAATTCGTCGTAATCATACCGCCAGTGCAAAATACAGAAAGACAGGATTGAAATATCAATAAAGATCAAGCATAGTAATTTTATTGGGACTTACATAATCCTTTTGTCCAGAAGCTGTCATGTTGGTTACAGGTCGCAATGTAGCAGGACTTTTCAAGGCCATACCGCTGAACTTGAGCAGCTGTCGAATCTGATCGGGTAAGGCATCGCGTAACTGACTTCCTTGTGATGTACACTCCTACAAGATATTCAATTATATGCTTTAATGAAAAGGACAGAAAGATTACATTATAGATGGATCGTATCGCTTCGCATACAGCTTCTTGGGTGGGAGACATGTGCGAATGGACTGACTGCATGACAAATGGCGCTTGTTCGCTTGGCACAGGGACATTGATGAGGCTCTAGAAATAATTTTATATACGATGCGTCATATCCGACAAGCAGATACCCACCTCGAGCACTGAAGGAAGCTGTTCGGCTTTGAGTTCGTCGACAGAAATATGTCTCGCAACATGTTCGAACAATGACGGAAATATATGCAAAAGCGTTGTAAGATGAGACGGGCCAGGTATATAGGTGGTTTTATCTATAATTTCCACAGTTGCACAGTTTCAGAGCCTAAAAACGATTACAAAACAACTGCTCACCATTTGATGATGTTGCGCCGTTACCCATCCGTGCTAAACCACGCGATATCCGTTGCCAAGTCTGAAAAAAAGAGTTCATGGTAGATTTAAGGACAACTAAACTTACATTCCACGATTCTATCCACTGAGGTAAGGGAAGCACTGGCGTGACATCTTCGAGTGCGTTCTCAACGCTAAAAAGTTGCATCATTATCCAAAAATAAGAACTGTCAGCATCATACCAAACACAAATTAATAAGCACTTCAAATAAGCTTAGGAAACACATGATATGGAAAATTAACACTGCTAGACTTTACCTGCTGGCTCTCTCACGCGTGTTGATGTCCAAAGTCTGTGCTGATATTTTTCCTAGCAAAACCTCCTGGAACACCGATATAAGGTAACATAAATCTTTCACAATGCTTACTTGGAAGCTTTTTATGGCGGACAATGATAGCTCTGCGTTTTGATAACAAGCTGCCCATTCAACATAGGACAAAAGTGCTTCCCAAGCAGACCCAAAGTCCTCTAAACATAAAAGTTGAAAGTGCAAAAACTGTTGCAAAAGTGTTCTTACCCAATGATAACAACGCCCTGCGCTGCGCGATGAAGATCTTTGAAGCAGCTGAGAGCGTATGGATGCATGTCTCCGTCCACTGCTTTTGTTGAGTATCTCGAGAATGATGCATGAGTAATGCACCGCTCGTTCGCTCTGTCGATGCACTCCTTGTCTGTACGCGTACTCGATCCAACAGTGGCATAATTATCTGAAGAAATTACCAATTTTGCGCAGCAAAAATTCATCAAAACGTCTCAGAGATTAAGAAGATAAAAAGGAAAGCAACGACAAAAAATTTACCTGCCAAACCATATGATTCCATGTAGTAATTCGAAGTGCGTGTCCATGCGACGCTACAGTCTGGAGCAAGGTTTGGCATGCGCTTTTTCGTACCGAAGGACGGGTGTCAGTGCAGAGCTCCGACAGACATGTATATAAAACCAACCACACCTGAACGACAAAATCATTTAGCCGCAAAATTTGTGAGAACTAAAATCCACCTTCTCAGAAGCATCGGCACCAACTTCCTCACTTTTTCGGAATACAAAATCAGAAATTGTCCACTGCAAATCATATATGATCTTCGAGCATAAAAATAGACTAAAATTTGGCTAACCAGCTGCGTGAGTGCAGATAACGAGATGTTATGGTCAGCCATTTGTTTTCCATATCTTGCCACTGCCTCCACTAGAGCAGAAACACACTCAAAAGGAAGCGATTGCAAGAAATCGGCAGCCACAAGTCTCAAGCCAAGGTAGCCTTGTCGAACAAGTGCTTCGTCACAGCTAGAACCGACAAATGAAGATAAAAGAGTTTAAACCCAAAGTGTTACCAATTCTCTTCATCGACGATGGCAGCAACAATGTAGATGACATGATGCCACATTTTGGAAACCAGCTGAGCACCGTCCGTCTGCAGCAGAGCCATCAAACAGTCTAGTTGGCGCCGTTGCACGTCAGCTTGATGAACGGAGCATAAAGAGCGTAAGGTGCTAAGCGTGAGCTGTTGTTGTTCCTAGACGGAAATGCTTAAAGCATCTTGTGCAGTAGACACATAGTTAAGTCATAAAAAGGAAAGAAAAGATTGGGGATGAACATCATCAAACATACTTCCACGCTCATTTCTGTCTTCGCTTTGAAAGCTTGCTTGATTATACTTGCTAGCGCAACTGCCGCCCATTCTCGAAGTGATGGTGTTGTATGTCCACAGATCTGCCAAAGATAAAATCGATCGCGAAAAAAAATGCTAAGAAGAAACCAACCTTGATGAAATGCGAGGTTACTCGACTCCAGAACACCTTCTGACGATGCAGATTCAAGCTAGCGAACCGAAGAAGCATTGCAAGAGGGAATAACGAACAATCTCGACCCGTTGCTGCCACAGCCACATTTTCGTCCGACAATCTGATATGGGTATTACTGTATCGCGAAGTGATGTTGAGACTGTACACACCACAACAAGAAAAAAAGATCTAGTATCAACGTTTGAAGAAATCTAAGTTCTAACACAGCAATGGCCGACTAGAGCCTCGCGTAAAGTCTTACAAAACTTACAAACATACAATTAAAGATCGAATTTGAGATTTTAACTGACAAAAACGTGGTAGGCTGAGCACGTGATGAAGGATACTCAACTAACAAAACTGCAAACATAAGAAAATGCTAACCTCATAATTGCATCCATAGTCTTGAGAAGCGATTCATTTGACAACGAGACGGATGTGCAAGCGATTTTGTCGAACAGAGACGTCTACAAAACAACTCTGATGAATGAGAAGTGGTGGCCGATAACTTACAAGGATCGGAGTTTCTGACAAAGCTGCATTTGTAATGACGCTAGAACTATCTGAAAAGAAACCAAGTTACCGATAAGCTTAATTTACCGGTCCAACTCTCTTCTTGATATGCCTGTAAAGCCATCGCTTCATTAAAATGCTTACTTACTTTGCTCAACTTCTGCTTTCTCCCTGGCAAAAATACCATTGGAAGCCGGTTTGATAGCTAGTAACCAAGCGACATGTTGACAGGTTAACATACACAAGTACCTAGAATCAGGATCTATGAAAAAAAATAGCATGTTGTGTAGGTATAATCACCAAAGCTCATCCATCAACGTCGCATGAGCGCATATCGAACTGAGTAGGATGCGTGACGCTTGCAAATTCCGAGAGGTAAGCTGAATAGACAGATAGATATATAAAAAGAAGAGAGAAAATGGATGGAGAAAGGTTCATCAAAGAGGCGAACACATTACAAAGAAAAGGTTAGAAAAAATCACACTACGGCATAGCATCGCGTTAACAGCTGAGCAATAGAATAAAATATGTATGTATTCTACATTAGCTAGCCACCCACCATAACCATATCATTCCATTTATCAGGTGCCACTATTGGGGACGGACAGGGTGTTCCGGAAGCTACTACTTCATGCAGTGTAGAGGCAGAATCAAATACTAGGTCTGATGTCGCTCCTGAAAAATTATCGCGTATCCAACTAGTTCTCATAAAAACATTTTTGAGTCAGATATGAACGCAAAAACACAACACCGCCACTAGAAAGTCTACACTAGCGAGTATTCGACATTCTATGGATAAGAAACATCACTGACTTCATAATCTGATTTACGCTAATTTCAGCAAGACTTTGCTACACCAGGCAATCTACATAAGTTTTAATCAAAACGTGAGGTTGTTGCTCTTTCACTGTTATCGCGGCGGTCAAAAGATTAGAACCTGATGAAGAGAAGAGAGACTCACCAGCATTTTTTGGTGCATCAAAACCGCCATACGTTTGCAAGTAATTCACTGATGGTAGACAAGCGCAACATAACACGTAAAGACAGTTTAGACTAGCGGATGACAGCTTCAATTTACAGCCAACAGACATTAAAGTTGACAATCCACATAACAACTGATCCGTCACTGTCTCGTCAGTACTAAAAAAAGCCACTCTAACGTGATGAAACTACGCGACACGGTGAAAGATACGCACCTAGCGGATAACAGCATACTCAAAGCTGCAAGCAAATTCGGCTGACAGCTTGTGAATATCGCTTCGGCTATAAGATTGTTGTTTTTATCGCCTCCATCGTCTGAAACCGTACTTCTCGTTAGATAGAAAATTTGGAAACCACAAAGGACCTTGTATGCATAATGCATCTACGGCAGCATAAATTGCTTGGATGAAGTCAACCAGGACGGATGTTGCTCGCGACACCACATAGCCATCGGGAACCGTGCCAGCTTCGTGCCGTTCCAAGCTATCAAGCCTAAATCCAGCCCGAATAAGAGATGTCAAAATGTCGCTGTCATAGAATAGCACAAACAACAGAATTGTGAATCTTTGGAAACTCATTAGCTTCTTCAAATGGAAGAATGAAGAAATAACAGAACACTCACAACAATGATTTCTTTGAAGACAGCTGCTCCACATATGGGTGCCAAACGTTTGAAAAATAAAATCCGGACGAACTCCTCGGTTGATTCCCATCTAGCTCCAAATCCATATCTGCACTGACTAATGATAACATAACAAAATACATATGCGCCTGTCATTACCAGATGACAATTTTGTAGGTTTGAAACTTTGCTGTATGACATCCGATATGCTGCTTGACAGATGTTCCAAAACCTTGGTCGTATTTGAACGAGCATCGAAGTTCTCACAGAGCCACCTAAGGAAACATTTTATTCGCGGTATTCATTATACCCAATCTCACCTTACGATGTCCGGCCTTACTACAACTCGATGAAGCGCCTCGAGCGATAACGCTCGTTGCCATCCTCTGCGATCTACATCAACGAATTTCATGAGGGAAGAAAGAAAGATCTCACACTCGGTGGGCTAAAAATGGTATAATTTTGAAGAGCAAAAGGATAATGACTGGCGTTTACTTACCAGAAGTTGATGGTATAAAGAGATGAGGCAGAGAATAATGCGCACAAGTCGCATCGCGATGGGGAAATAGGGCCTATCAGTGGGCAAACCTTGCGACGAAGTACGCGATGATGGATGTTGCGAGGACACCTGAGGTAGAAAACTTTGGCGACAGAAGCAACAAAAACCAAAGAGAAACGAGAACTTATCCGACATGTCAAAGGACATTAAAAAAGAATAAAACCCACATGTGCCGATTTCAAACTGGGAGAAAACAGCTTGATGACAAGGGGACAGACCTCAGTTTTCAGCAACTCACAAAATTCAGGATGCTAAAAAAA